AAGAGCGATGAGGCTGGAGGCCAGATTCTGCAGCGATCTGTAAAGCACTAAAAAGTTTGGCATTTAAAACTTAAGGGTTTAAGCAAAGAGGTCAGGGGCTGGATTTGTGTCTTGGAAAATTCACTCTGGCTGCAGCAGCAAAGATGGATTAACAAGAGTTCAGTTCTGAGGCTCTTGTTCTCCCCTCGGCAAGAGATGAATCAGCCTGGCCTCGGAGAGTGACAACAGGGAGGAATGATGACATTATTGGGCTGTCATTTATTGAGCCCTTAGTATGGGCCAGGCTCTACGTTAAGCCTTTTACAGCAATCAGCTTTTTCATCCTTTGAACAACCCTATCAGGTCATCACCAACATCAACCCCGTTCGACGGAAGTGGAAACTCAGCTCCAAGCAGATGAAGCATACATCTGGAAGCGAGAAAGCCAGAACTGCCCCCATGACAGGCCGGCTTTGGCCTGTCCAGAATAGGGAAGACGGGGGCAGGGAGAGAAAGAATTACAGGAGCTTGCTGGAAGAACAGGTCTGATTGGGGTTCGGGAATGGGGTGGGATGGGGGTGGGGGAGGCTCCACACTCCCTGGCAGGAGCAGCTACATAACTCGTGGGGCCCGGTGCAGAAAGAAAGTATGGGACCCTTTGTTCAGAATTGACTAAGATTCTCCAGACAGTGACTTACACCTGTATGTAGCCCTTGGAAGCGTGGTCTCTGTATGAATGCAGGGTTGCACACCCTTGAAGTCAGCCCTGCTCTCTGGTTTCCGTCCCAGGTGCCTGGAGAAGGTTGGGCAGTTACTAGTGATGGAAGAATCCAGAAGTTTGCTTGGGGCTGAGTGGGGGAATAGAAAGAAGGGAGTTCTGTTTGAGACCCTGAGGTTTGTGTCCGGCAGGATGGCTCTGGGTTTGGCGCTCAGAAGTGAGGTCGGGGCCACAAGTCCGCACAGATCACCAGGTTACCAAGTTCAGTGTCAAGTTCAACACCAGCACACATGCTCCCTGACATTGCCAACTGACCCCCAATGATGCTTCTCAGGTTCCTTCTCTGGGTCCTGCCACCAGCCTGTCCCTGCTACCACCTGGGTTCCAGCTGCTCCTCCCGGGACTGGCTGGTTCCCATTTCCCTGAGGGCAGGGAGGTTTTTTGCAAACCCTCTGCCTCTGGGCTAGATTTTGCCCCCAACTACCTTGGACACTGGCCTTAAGGACCCATATTTGAAGATCCTCACCAGCCTGAGAGTTTGTAAACTCTGCCTAGAGCTCACCTCTGAGAGATCTCCTGGAGGCGTTCGAAGAGTCTGTTGGACGCTCCCTTTGACTGAGGAGGAGGAATCTGCACGCCAAAGACGTCAGCCATCTGCCCAAGGCCACTGTCATGTCTGTGTCAGCCGGTCTTGCTCTGCTGGTGCCGCCCCTGCCTCCTGCTCCACCGCAGCCCAACTGGGAGAGCCTGGCTCAAGCACTGCATTCACTCACTCACTCATTCATCCACTCATCCACTCACTCATTCACTCATTCATTCATTCACTCAATCGCTCATTCATTCACAGACTCATTCATTCATTCATTCACTCATTCATTCACTCACTCATTCACTCATTCATTCACTCAATCACTCATTCATTCACAGACTCATTCATTCATTCATTCACTCACTCATTCACTCATTCATTCACTCAATCACTCATTCATTCACTCAATCACTCATTCATTCAGACTCATTCATTCATTCACTCATTCATTCACTCACTCATTCACTCATTCATTCATTCATTGGCAGATATTGAGAACATACTACATATCAAATGCGGGGGCCAAATAGAGAAAGCTGAGTAATTACACAAGTAATTGTAACACCTTGAGGAGGGTTACAATAAAGGGTGGGACTATGAGTGGGGATTCTGATCTACCACAAGAATAGGGCTCAAGGCCCGGGCTGAGCAAGAGTCAGTTCCCTTGCCTGTAGCATTTCCCAGAGATGGCTACGTCAATGTAACTCCCGTCCTGTGTGCTCTTCTTGGGACAATGACCTCCATCAAAAGGTGGGGTCCTCCATCAAAAGGCTGGGTTCCCAGCCTTGAACTGGGCAGACCCTGATGAACAGACAGAGGCAGAAGTTCCAAGCCTAGGTCATGAAGTACTATATCACTTCCACCTGGCTCTCTGGGGACAAGCACCTTTGTAGCCCTCAGAAACCTTGTAAAACCTGAAGCTGGCATGCTGGAGACACCATCTGAGGAGACCATGAGGGAGCCAGGGTAGGGGGTGGAAGGCTGAGGTGCTGACAGGTGATGGAAGAAGCCTTCGGGATGACTGTCACTCAGCCACCATCCAACTACAACCTCTTGATGGCCCAGCTGCGCTACTCCTGAATTCCTGACCCACAGAAACCCTGAGAGATAAGAAATGGTTATTTTTGTTTTAAGCCACTAAGTGTTGGGGTAATTGGTTGACAGCCACAGTAACAGGAACATTTCTGAAAGGTGGGGATGGGCAGATAGCAGTGCTCTGGACAGAGCAAGCAGCATGTGCAAAGGCCCTGAGGTGAGAAAGAGGTGCTGAAATGAAGGTGCCGAGGCTGCCAGGGTCATCATCTCCCAAGCTTTCCAGAGCTCTTCTTTTGGTCCTACCCACATTTCTCCCATGAACAGGTAATCTCGTTTCCTCTTCTGTGCAGAGAGCCATTCACAGAATAATGGGACCTTGGGAAGAAAATTACATTCATTCTTTAGGTCAGTAAGATTAAATGCATGGCCTGGGTGTCTGTGGGTGGGGAGGAGGGGAGAGCTCCAATGCTCCCAGAGGTGGTATAGATGCTCCCTGCTGTGCACAGAGGAGGGGACTGGGGCTGGGGGTGGGCAAGGAACAGGGGGAGGCCAGGTTCCTGCACTGCCCAGAGGGATAAGTGAGAGGAAGTGAGATGGGCTCCAGACCCACCTGGCAGCAGAGCTTGCCTTCCTGCCCCAGCTCCAGGTCAAGTGTCTCCAGGCTTCAGGCGAATCACCCTCCTGCTCTGGGTTTGGGTTTCTCCTCTGTTAATGGGGATGATAATGACACCAGCCTTGGGCTCATACCGTGTGGCTTAATTGTTACATCCTCATGACAGTCGCCCCTTACTCTGGGCTCATCTGTGCCAGGCACCAGGACAGACACCTGACTTGCATTAGCATGCTTCTTCCTCAAAAGGTCGGAGATGGTATGACCCCATTTACAGTTGAGACAATTGAGGCAGAGGTGGACAAGCAGGGTCCTGAGCACACAGGAAGTTCAGCGATGCCGGTGGCTGATAACCAGCTGTCTTTCCTTTTCCTGCCAAAGCCCCACACACCTGGTTTAAAGTTCTCAATTGGCCGGATGAGTCCCCTGGTTCCTGCTGCCCCCAAGCAGGCTGCCCCATTCAAAACTCCATAGGATTTGGGAAAACAAAGGGAAAAAAAAATAATACCAAACAGCCAGATGTGCCCCCACCCCCACCCCAGCCCCGGGAAAAGCAGCAGAAGAAGACGGAAGGCAGCACACCCAGGAGAGGAGCCAGCACTCCTGGGCACCTCCTGCCCAGTGACCGTGTCCCCCCAAAATAAGTCCTGGATACATTCCCAAGAGCTCGGGGAACACAGTAACTATGACGCTGATCACAGCCGTACAAAGTATTTATTTGGTACCAAGTATTTATTTGGTGCTCACCCGCTGCCATCCCTGCTCCAACTTACTTAATTTTCACACTCTGTGAAGTGGGTGGTATTATTTTCTTCAGTTCGCCAAGAGGAAACAGTGGCACAGAGAGGTTAAGTGACTTGTCCAAAGTCACACAGCTGGCATCGCCAGGATTTAGACCAATAAACAGGTAAGCGAGTACATCAAACATTCCTCAGTTTCCAGGCAGAGGACTCACATACATTCATCCTGTAAGAGACGGGAGTTACCCTGCTGACAAAGCAGGATATGGGGACACAGAGAAATTCAGCTGCCTACCCAAGGGCCAGGGGCTGGGGAGAAGGATTTAGAGGCAGCCCCCTCTGGCTGCAGGGCTGGCAGAGACACTTCTTTACCCCAAGCTATTCTCTTTGTAATCCATTTCCCCTCTCCGGCCAAAGGCAGTTCTAGAACAATCTGCCCCAGGACAGGACAGCCTCTCATTAGTGTCCCAGCCGCTGAACCAGAGCCACCCCAGGTCACGACATCTCCCCAGGCCCCGAGGGAGAAGGGAGGGCCCCCGAGGGAGAAGGGAGGGCCGGAGCCAGCTCCCGGCTAAAGCGCCCACTTCCCTGCCCTCGAAAGGATCTTCTCGGTCTCTAGGAACAGTTTGGACTCACTGCCTCCTCCCCAGCCTCACCCCTCTGCCCCCCCTTGCTCTCTCTGGGGTCACTTCACTCATGTTCCAAGCGCTAACATGGAATCAGAGGGGGGAAGGTAGGGGGGAGCGGAAAGGGGAAGGGGAGCTGAAACTTGAGATCCCAGCCTTGGTGGGGGGAGTTTGGAGAGAGACAGAGAGAGAGAGAGACAGAGACAGAGACAGGAAGAGAGGGTTCAGTTGGGCTTGGTTTTCTGAAGCAGACAGCTTTGGGGGTTTGGTGCGTGTGTGAGTGTGTGTGTGTGTGTGTGTGTGTGTGTGTGTGTTGTTTTCTTTCTCACAGGGAGGCCAAGCCTCCACTGGATAATAAAAGAACTCAGGGGCCAGGCCAAGCCGGGGGAGCAGGGCCGGTGCGGGGACAGAGCAGCCGTGGGCAGGAGCGCCAGGAGGAAGGAAGGGAGAGGGGGAAGATTGGAGGTGAGGGGGTGTCTGCGGGCGGGAGCACGGGCGGTGGGAGGAAGCCGAGAGGCTGTGGTATTTGGAGCAAGTATAAATAGCCGCTGGGACAGAGATCGGCCAAGCAGGGGTTTGCCTTTGCCGCTGCAGGGCTCGCGGGGGCAGGCCTGTCCGCCCACGGCTGGCCACGGCGGCACATCCCGGGTGCAGAGCCGGGCGGGGGGCAGGCGGAGCGCTGGGGGGCTCTGAGCCCGCAGGCCTCGCTCTCGCCACTTCTTCGGATGCTCTCCCGGCTGGCCATGCTGCTGGGCGGCCTCCTCCTCGTCGTGGCCGCCGTGACTGTGGCCCAGCGGAGGGGGCAGGAGGCGGGCGGGCGCCGCCGGGCACACCGCGTCCAGCACGGCCAGTGCAGCTACACCTTCGTGCTGCCCGAGCCGGAGCCCTGCCCGCCGGATCCGGAGCCCTTCGGGGGCTCCAACAGCCTCCAGAGGGACTCGCCAGCTGCTGCCCTGAACCTAGGGGACTGGCCTGCCCAGAGAGTGCGACAGCTGGAGAAGGTGCTGGAGAACAACACTCAGTGGCTGCAGAAGGTAAGGTTTGGGCCTGCAGGGGCGTGGTGTGGGGAGGCACAGGAGCCTGTCCGGTGGATAGGTGGGGGCTCCTCCCCAGAAGCCTTCCCCAGTGCAAAGGCCAGGCTGATCTAACCCATGTCTCTGATTTGTACAGACTGGGCTAATGCGGAACAGAGAGGGACAGGGATGGCCCTGATGCCACACAGCAAAACAAGGCAGGCTCAGAGCTGGAAACCTGGCTCCCTCACAGCCATTCATTCCCTTATCTGAGCAAAATCCACTGAGCTCTGATCCGGGGCCTGGCCCATCCTAGGTACCAGGGATATAACCGTACACAGAACAATATGACCCCTGCTGGCCTGGTGGGGGCCATAAAGAGATGAGCAATAAATATATGCATGTCAGATGGTGAAGCAAGATGAAGGCGGGAAGAGGGAGAGCGGTGACGTGGTGGCTGTTTGAGGTCAGATAATCTGAGAGGACTTCTCAGAGGAGGTGATGTTTAAACCCAGAGAACAAGTAAGGTAATGTAGCAGCCCATGCGGATACCTGCTGGGAAGGCGTTCTCTACAAAGGGGCCAGCAAGTGCAAAGGCTGTGAGGTGGGAATGCAGTCAGGGTGCCTGGGGAACTGCGGGGACCGCGGTGGAGCAAAGGAGGGAAGAGAGGGTTGCTTGAGCTGATCGGAGAGGTGAGGGGAGGCAGGCCATGTCGTGCCTTGGGGGGGGCCACTGGGAGGGCTCTGGCTCTTGCTCTGAACTTCGCAGGAGCCAGTGCAGACCTTGGAACAGGGGAGACACAGCTGATTTGTTCTGAACAAAATACCCTGCAGGGAGCAGGGTACATTCTGGGACCCCGAGGAGGGGGCTGCTCAGCTGCCAGGCAAGCAGAGATAGAGGCCTGGATGGAGCGGGACGGGTCTGGGGAGATCCTGCTTTATTCTGCAGGGCGGCCACTCAGCCCTGTTGATGAGGAGCTGAGGACACCCCCGGCTGCTCTGGCCCAAGGCCAGAACCACTCCAGAGTCCTCTGTCCTCATTCCTTCAGCAAACAGTGAGCCCCCGCTGTGTGCCAGCCCGGGACAAGGCACTGAGCACAGAGATGAACAAAGCTGGCGTGGCCCCTCACAGGCCTGCGGGCAGGAAGGGTGTCCTGTGTGTTCCCAGACGGGGTTGCCAGGAGGCTCTAAGTAGGAGCAATGAGGGAGAGAGTGAGACCCAGGCCACAGGTGCAGAGGATGGCCTGAGCAGCGACATATGATGGAGGGAAGTGAGCCTTCGGGTGTATTAAACAGCACAGAGCAACCGACAGGGAGCTTCTCCAAGGAACGGTGCCTTCTCACTCCTTGCTTTCCAAACTGTTCAGATCATGCACCCAATCACCAAACAGCGTCCATACACATTTATTTAATATTTTTTGCACATGTACCCATATTAATGCAAGTACCGGGAACAAAATGAAAGGAATAAATAATTACTAAATTATTTATTAATAATAAATAAATAAAAATAAAATAATAAATAAATAAATAAAATATAATTAAAAATAAATAAATAAACAAATAAATAAATAATTAAATAAATAATAAATAAATAAATGAAATGAAATGAAAAGGTGACCTACGAAATCATCACGTCAATTGAAGTTCTGGTGGTTTCCTCTGTTTTCCAAAGAATTGCCTTGAGCACACCTGGGTTTATCTGTCCCCAAGGTGGGGAGACTGCCCTACGTGAGACTAACCAACCCGCTTTGCACACACTTGCATATCACTTGCGGGCACGAACACTTAACCTCTTACTCCTGCCCTGATCTCAGCGCCCCCATTCACCATCTCCCCATAGGCCCTTGCTTACCTGCCCTCCCACCCCCCTGCTCTGCCACACTGCCAGCCTGCCACAATCCCACCCCAAGGTCCCCTCGAGAAGGTTCTTGCCCTCCCATGCTGGAGTGGGGGCTCCATGCAGCCTTGAAGTCTGTGTGTTTCCTGTTCCATGAGGGTCATTCCAAACCTCGCCTCCTCCTCAAGCCTCCATCTTTACTGTCCCCCATCCTCTCACCAGAACAATGACCCCCTGCTTCAGTGAAAAATGGGAACAAAGGGAAAGCCAACCTTCAGCTGCCTCTCCCACACCTGCAGTTTCACCCACACATCCACTAGTTCCCAGGAGTTTTCTTCGGCTCAGAAGGAAAAGGTTCCTTCAGCGGCCAAGGCCACTGTTCCTTCCTAGGATACAGATCCCATCCCCAACCCCTACATCCCCTGAACTTCCCCAAGCCGACTATCCCCTCCTGTGCTCCCTCTCTGCTGATTCTTACCCTCAGGGTTTGATCCCATCTAAGTATCTTCCATTAAATAATAATAATAATAATAATAATAATAATAATAATAATAAAAGGAAGGGAAAAAAAAGAAGGAGAAGTAAAAGAAGGAGAAGTAGAGGAAACAAGCCTCCTCTCCAGCCCACACCCTCTTGGACTTCTGGCCTGGTTCTCAGAAGTCCACACGACCTGCCTCCATTTCCTCACCTCCCATGTACTCCTTCTCCCAAAAGTCACCTCCCACAGGCCACCTCCCACATCCCAAGGCCACGACTCAGTCTTCATCATACTTGATCTCATGACAAATATGTTGCTGGCCAGTACTATCCTTCCAGAAACGGTCTCCATTAGCAAGTCCTTAGCCACAAAACACGCCTCCCCTGACCTACCTCCCAACCACTTTCCCTCCCTCTGCAGCCGCAGTGGGCTCCCCATCTCCACTCTGGCCCCCACAGTCCATTCTCTTAGCAGACAGAGGGATCCTAAGTTAGATCCTGTCCGTCGTCTGCATAAAACCCTCCTGGGGCTCCCATCTCTTTGGAATAAAAGTAAAAATCCTTAGTCCCTAGAACACCCCTTCTCCCAGATGCCCCCATGGCCCTCTCGGGTCTCTGCTTAAATGTCACCTCCATAGGGAGGCTCTCCCTGTCCGCTCCATTTAAAACAACCACCGTCCCTCCGTTTCTGCATCCCCTCAACCTGACTTTGGTTTTCTGTCTTTGCACGTCCCACTACCCATTCTTAAAGCACTTCTGTGGGTCTTTGTGCTCCAGGAGATCATAGGATCATAGCTGCTTTGTTCATGACTGAGTGCCCAGAGCCTGGCACAGCGCCTGGCAGAGCAGGTGCTCCTTACAAATCTGCGGAGTGAACGAACGCACGGATACGTGAACATCCCTGAGTCCCTCCAGTCGCTCCGGGCCCCCTCCTCCACCCCCCGAAATGCTAGTGTTGCTCAGGACTCTGTCTCCGCTCTTCCCTTCCTCTCACACTTCATGACACCGTTCCCAGGGCTGCCCCCAGTGCTCCTGTGACACTGTCTCTCACCTGCCCCCTGATGACACCGAATCGGCATCTCACAGTCTCCTGAGCCCCAAATCCATGACCGTGACCCCGCAGATGTCTCCCTTCTGAGAGGTCATGGTGCCTCAACCCCGAAGCTGCCTGACTCTCAGCTCTTCCCTCCCTGCCTACCTGTCTCTGTTAAGGCCTTCTGCAGCTCTGGGCTGTTCTCCATGCCCACCTGTCCCCAGGCAGCAGGTCCCACCCGCCTTATGGCCTTGGCCTCTCTCTTTGTGGTTCATTGTCTTGTCTCCCCAGCTGCCACCCCACGCAGGCCTTGTCACCTCCCCACTGGCTTCTCTACTCCGATCATCACCCACTCATCCCTCTTTGATTCCCCTGGGTGCCTGGTGCTCAGGCAACATGGACTGAGCCGAAGGATGAATTTAGACCAGAGGCTCTCAGGTCAGGTGCCCCTAGGCCACCTCTTCAGCCTGAAGTACAATGTCCTCTCTAGATGTCCATGGAGCAGAGAATGCCAGTGTTGAAATCAGGCCGACCTGAGTTCACATCCTGGTCTGACACTTTCCACGTGGTTGTGGATGAGCAAGTCTCAGTTTCCCCGTCTGCAAAATGGAGCAAATGGCAACATGCTGGGGGATGGCCGGGAGGACCACTGAGATGGCTCCCATGCGGCTCTCAGCTTGCTGCCCCAGGCAGAACGTGTGCTCCATGAAGACCCAGCCAGATGGGAAGGATCAATGGGCTCTTATTTCATTCAGCCGCATCACTAGTTCGAGCCACTGCTGGGTGAGGGTGGCTCAGCCCCGGACAAGTCAGTCCAAGGGCCCCAGCCCAATCACCTGGGGACTGGCAATGTCGCTCATCCCTGCTGGTGTCCTCTAGGGCTTCCCGGTCCCACCCGATCTCTGCTGGGGTCCAAGCAGGTGTTTGCTCTTGGTTGAATGTCCCCTTCGTGCCCTTTGGGCTGGGCCTATCTCAGAGTCTTTGAAACCCAAAGGCCTCTGCTTGGTTTCTGCGGTAACATCCCAGAAGAGAAAAAAAAATGAGATTCAGAATATGCTAATGTAGAAGCATCATCATCATCACCATCGCCATTAGGGATTACTTGGGATGAGCGGAGAGGTCTGGCCTCCCCAGATCAAGATTCCAATCATCAGGGCACCTGGGTGGCTCAGTGGGTTAAGCCTCTGCCTTCCGCTCAGGTCATGATCTCAGGGTCCTCAGATCGAGTCCTGCATCGGGCTCTCTGCTTAGGGGGAGCCTGCTTTCTCCTCTCTCTCTCTCTCTGCCTGCCTCTCTTAAATAAAATCTTAAAAAAAAAAAAAAAAAGATTCCAATCAGCAGGGTGGACGTAGAAGAGACCCTCCCTGCTGCCAGCTGCCAGTGGCCAGCACCTGCTCGGCCCATACCCCTGACTCCAGCCCCTGTCCCCTGCCCACCCCCACCCCAGTACACAGGTGAGGAAACAGGGGAAGGGGACTTTCCGGAGTCACCTGCAGTGACAGCAAGCCTGGAGTCTCACGCCAAACTCCAGGTCCTTTCTCCTGACTCTGGAGGGTGCCAGGGAAGTGAGTGAGGCAAGATCCGAAAGATGGTATTGGGGGGGGTTCCCTAGTGCCTCAGAATTCCCGAATCCCTGACACTCATTCCCTTGTCCCAGCATGGAGCCTGCCA